TAAAAAGTAACGGTATAAGTAATTCTCTTCCATTCCCTATATAATCATTTAACTTTTAAGGATTTAAATACATATTATTATCAGATCATCTCATTTAAAGTTTTAAAAATTTAAATTTTAAGGGATCTCTCTCTCTCTCTCTCTCTCTCTCTCTCTCTCTCTCTCTCTCTCTCTCTCGGTTAGATAATCATTCAAAAACAAACCATTAAGTGACCGACCGATACGAGCAAAAATATGTTGAAATTAGTAATTAACGCAATTATACAATCAATAATTAGTTCTAATTTAATATGTAAAATAAAATTGTATAATACATTAGTAAGAATTCAAACGTTTCGGCTTCACAGAACCTTCCTCAGTGTATAACAAAAATTATTAATCGCTATTCGCAATGGAAATATTTCGGTATAACATATTAAAATTTTGATCTTTACAATCTTCATCTGATGTTAATCTTCTTTTCAATTCAGAATTTATCAGCATCACACCAGTTCGTCATATTGTAATCCACAAGAATTTGATCGTTAAATTGCGAGAAATTCCATTATGTCAAAAACAATATTGTCAAAACCATTAAAGATCTTTCCAAATTTAAAAGAAGAAGAACAAAGACATGTGGTATATTTAATTGACATTAACGAATATATGTCTAAAATGACAGTGTCATTTTAGACAATAATCATTCAAAGATTTAAAGATCTAAATTTTTGACAGGATTTTCTTTTGAACATGGTTTGACTTTTCATTTTTATGATATGATTTTTTTACGACATCACTTTTTATAATCCTACTATATTACATAACATCCTTCGTCATTATATACTGTGACGTGACATTTTGTCAGTCACTCGGAAAAGCAGCACAATGCGAGATCTTGAGTCCTTCAGGGTCAACGGGCGAGCGCACAAGTGAATGTGCGACATTATTATTTATTTTTATTTCCTTTTTGCGATTATTGTATTACTTATTTTTATTCTCTTTTTGCGATTATTGTATTATTTTCTTTCTTTCTTCTTCTTGTCGCTATTTAGTTAAGTTTTAGTTAATATTAAGACGACCTGAGCTCGGATTTTGCCGGTAATTCACGATCAGAGCCGGTGGCTACGCTGTATTCTTGTGTTCGGCCGCCTCACCTATCGCTAGAAGAGAGAAGACGTCGCCTCCTACGATCGAGAGATGGCTGTATGAAGAGTTTGGCTGAAGTCATGAGAAGCGCGTTACACGCAGGTCGTATTATTTCATATTTGTTACTAATGTCGCTATTATTTGGTGGATTATCGCACCCTCATTGCAGACGCCTTTGAGAGAGACGTCAGCTGGGAACGGACTCACAGGCAGGGCATCCGCCGAAGCGCCGTATCCCACAATGATCATGGGAAGATCGTCGAGCGACCAGAAAGCATTTTCCGTCTTTTGGAAATACGCGCCACAGCGCTTAAGAATACGCGACACGCAAGGACCCGCGGGATTCGTCGCGGGGTCACGCGGTCGCGGCGAGCCAATTAGAGCAAGCAGAGGCCCGATAAGAGAGGGCCTGATCGACGGCCTGCGTGAATCCGCGGAAACTTCCGATCGGCACTTGTGCAGTGACGGACTCCTAGAAAGGACGCACGATCTCGCCCATAACTTGTCAGGAATTTCGAGAATATTCGTCGAAGACGAACACTACTATCGGCTCTCGTGCAGACTTTGAAGGAAGCGGCTGAGGAGGAATATCTTGGTGAGGCGAGCGTTATCCGATGTTATTGTAAAGCCACCGATCGCGTAATATTTTGTGAGCGTCTCGAGCGAATCGTGTGTGAGAATTTGCGCGGATTTGATTCGGCCGATGTCGTACCGGCAAACTGTAACGCCATTGTTTCGTAAGAAGAACGAATTTGCGTAAGAATTTGTGAACTCAGGATTGTCGTCATTGCTCGCCCGTGTCAATGCCAAGTCAAATTGTTTGTATTAATTGTTGAGATTCCGGTTTGTTCAAGATTAGAGTCATAGCCCAGTAAATCTAGGAATTATAAAAGAATTAAATAGAAGAAGAAATGTTTTGACGTGGTTAGGTTCCAAAGACGGAGTAGAATATGGAATCACAGTTTTAGACCAAAATTTGATATGGCGTGTGCCCGAAATTTTTAATTTTCTGTTTTATCGATTTATAGCCGTATTTTGCATTTTTCGCTAAAAAAAGGTAACGACCAAATTTATACAGAATTAAATTCTCTATCTTTTTTATCGGAACAACTTTTTTGTAAAATAATTATTTATTGCTAATAATAAGTGTAAAGTGTAAAAAATTAGGAGATTGTCCCAGTTTTTTAAACTTTTGGACCATTTTCATTAAAAATAGGTGATATATTTAAATGGCAAAGTTGTAGAGGACTAAATTCTCTACAAGTTTCGTATAAACCAGTTTTTCGTACGACGAATGTATAACGGCCGGGAGCACGGTAAATAGCCCGGTCACCAGAGACAAAATTTCAGTAAATATCGGAATTAAATGGAAGAAGAAATGTTTTGACGTGGTTAGGTTCCAAAGACGGAGTAGAATATGGAATCACAGTTTTAGATCAAAATTTGATATGGCGTGTGCCCGAAATTTTTAATTTTCTGTTTTATCGATTTGTAGCCGTATTTTGCATTTCTCGCTAAAAAATGGTAAGGATCAAATTTATGCAGAATTAAATTCTCTATCTTTTTTATTTGAACAACTTTTTTGTAAAATAATTATTTATTGCTAATAATAAGCGTAAAGTGTAAAAAATTAGGAGATTGTCCCAGTTTTTTAAACTTTTGGACCATTTTTATTAAAAATAGGTGATATATTTAAATGGCAAAGTTGTAGAGGACTAAATTCCCTACAACTTTCATAAAAACCAGTTTTTCGTACGACGAATGGATCACGAGCGGGAAGACGCTGAACACATAGGCACGGCGGAAGCGACTCAACTCATTTCCACACCACCCAAGAGGTATTCAATAGGTTTGTTCTTCTTGCTTACACTTCGTACACTATCGTGTAAAATGTACACTTTGGCGTTCTTCTTGTCGGAAATGACGTAGAGTTGTGCGATTACACTGGATTACACGCTGTTCGTCTTGAAAAGTGGATCACACTTTTATGGCGGATTTTACACTGGTTTTACACGAGCCTGAGAGATGGTGTACGCAGTGTAAAGTTACACTAAGAGGTTATAGTTTCCCACGATTGCTTCCTAATTTTATTTTTTACAATGGAAGAAGTCGTACAAGTGCCTAAAACGTATTCAGTATTTCGAAATGCCGATGAATCAATAATTATTGATGAGGAAGGTTACATAACATGCCAAACCGACAGTATGTATACATTTTTAATTGTTTTATTTACATATGTGTTTTGTTAATTGTATGTATACATTTTTAATTGTTTTATTTACATATGTGTTTCGTTAATTGTATGTATACATTTTTTAATTGTTTTATTTACATGTGTATCATGTTAATTTGTAGGTGGGCTAACTTTTAAAATACAGACTTCCGAAATAGATTCGAATGGTCCACCCATTACATGTACTGTGGATAACGAAGAAGTTTTAATAGTATTAACATCTACACACAGAACAATAGACACACCGGACACTAACATTTCCAATCAAGAAAATCAGGAGCCAAACGTCATTCAACACAATTTTGAAATTTTTACATGGAATGATGCGAATACCAAAATATTTTTATCACTCTACAAGGAGAAGAAAGAATTAGTTGGTTCTAGAAGAATTAAAAATTTTAAAGAAATGTAGAAGCGTATAAGCGACGAGATGAGAAACTCGGGATACGACGTGACTCCTATACAAGTGGAAAATAAATGGAAGACTTTAGAAAGACAATATAAAAAAGTTATTTCCAATAATAATAAGACAGGAAGAGGGCGGATTACCTGTAGTTACCAAACGTACGTATAGCTAAAATTGAAATAATAATAAATCATAATAAATTGATGCTTTATTTTTGCTTACATGCTTTTACAGGGAACTGACAGAAATTTTGGGAAAGAGCCACAAAATAGTTCCACTTGCTGTGGCGGGTCCGGAAATAGGAGTAATGGTCCGAAATAGTATATCAGATCACAGGACTTTATTGAATAACAGATTTGTTTCGTAAATACTAATATCATCTATGAATTGTGATTTAAGTATATTTATTATTGCATATTTTGAAAATTGTTCATATATTTTCATATATTATCATTAATTTTTGAAAATTAATTTTATTTTTTAACTTTAGTGCGCCAATTTTAATGCCAGTATCGACAACAACTGTATTACCAACCACATCAAACGTAGAAAGAAGAGAGGAACCTGAAGATATGCCTGTGGCTGATGAAAGTGAAGTAGTAACCGTACCGGAAAATGCCAACCTCGTCGCTGTTGCTAAAAAAAGAATCGCCACTGAAACAACGGCAAAGGCATTGCAACAGTGCCAAGAAGAGATGCAAGAATACAGGAAGACACTCGAAAAACGCCATGAAAATCAAGATAAAATGTTATCACAAATCCTGGAAACCTATAAATCAATAAAAGATAGACAAGAAGAACATTTGACCGCAATAGAAAACCACAGAAAGGAAACTATTCAACAAAGACAACGAAGAAACCACTTATTGGAAGAAAAAAATAATTTATTGAAAGAATTTTTAAATTCATTTAAAAAAATTAACCAGTGTGACGTGGCGACTCTTCTTTTCAGTAAATTTAGCCGACGATTATATTATTTTATTCCATTTATTTTCCACTTGTATTGCAGTCACGTCATATCCTTACTTTTTCATCTCGTCACTTATGCGTTTCCACATTTCTTGTAGTGTTGAAAACAGCTTTGTATTATATTTGTTCAGTTTTTTGTTTATTGTTTATTGTTGATTTAATGGAACAATGTAATAAAAGAATTTTTATATCAATATGAAATAAGGAGTTTTATTGAAAACACATTTATTATTTATAATTCACAAATGATATAATATATAAGGCCTTTAAAAGATAAATTCACATAATTCTTATTTAAATAGAATGTACAATTATTGAGACATTTAATGTGCTGCGAGTTGTCTACATATTTCGTCTCTAAGTTCTCGTCCCTGTTGATTATCCTGCGGTATTGCATTATCTCCAACCACATTAATCAGTGCATTTACAGCATCAGGTTCAGGTTGATTTTCATTGGGAGGTGGTTCAAATAACTGTAAATCATTAGCATTCGCCATATTGTGCAAAACACAACATGCATGCACAACCTGAACCATTCGAACAATGTCTCGTAACTTAAAATGGTACAATTGACGAAATCGCTGTTTCAGATTACCAAATGCATTTTCGATAATAACTCGACATGAACTCAATCTTTGGTTAAAATTGATTTGAGCTCGTGTCAAATGTCCGTTATCTTTATACGGAACAATCAACCGTTGTAAACAGGGATACGCACTATCTCCAAGCAAGTATCCATCTTCTGCAAATTAAAAAAATTGGTTCAGTAAAAGATTGTACACTAAGTTTTTTTACAATAGCATCCGAATATACATTTTGATATTATTTTAATCTAAAAAAAATTACGTCACAAACCTCCACAAAGTTCATTCAGTCTATTGTACACAGGCGATTCCCTGAAAACTCTTGCATCATGAACCGATCCAGGGTAACCGATAAACACATTCATAAACTTTTGTTCGTGATTCACAATGCCTTGTAACTGAATGGAAAAAAATTGTTTCCTATTTATGTACGAATCTTTGTCTTCTATTGGTTTGTCGATTCGAATGTGCGATCCATCTATGGCACCTGTAATAATGAATTATTTAGTAATGAAATAATCGAAATTCTATATGTATGAAAATAGTACTTTTGAAATATACCTATTACTCCAGGAAATCTGATTTGCTGTACAAAATGTTGTTTAATGGCTTCTCTCTCTTGCATTGTAGGAAATCTGATGACATTTGGTGCAAGAGATATTAAAAAATTTGTGACCCGGGATATAACATTGTACAGCGCACTTATGGTAATCCCAAATCTATCTGCTACATCCCGATAGCCACTGCTTTCATGTCCAACGTACCAAAGAAAACTTATGATATGTTTCTGTGGAGAAATAGGCTCGTAGCCTGCATAAGCTGTGATAACAGACATAGATATAATGAGATATTATATTCATAAAATTATGCAACTAAAATATGTTATTTATAAATAATATTAATGTATGTGGAACTCATAATTATGATATAATTAACCTTGTAATTCCAAAAAAATTGGAGATGCTGCAAAACGATTGATTAATTCATTGGTCACTTCTCGTGATAAGCGAAAGTGCATTATGAAATCACTCTCAGTGTATAAATGTACAACATTTTCAATATAATTTAGAATTTTTACGTGATGTACTCTTTGAATAACTCCTAATACTGGCTCTAATAATTGTCCAATGTCTTCATCTAAAAAACAATGTTTTGAGGTTAGATTACATAGGTTAAATTACTTTAAACAGTGGTTAAATGTACTCACATGTAGTAAGTAAAAAATTATTTAACTATCTTACCATTATTTGCAGCAAATAAAACAGGTGGTTCAGGAACAATCTCGTCAAAAGCCTCTTCATCGGATGACAAATCAGATTCAGACTCCGACTCCAAAATGTGATTAAGAATTTCTATATTTACTTCATTCATCATTTTGTGATAATTGTAACAATATAACCAATAATAAATTTTAAACAATAAAATTCCACTTTTTCATTAAAACTTTAAACATGAACACCATGCACAAATAGCTGTCGTATTTATAAACACTTGATGTTACACTTCGGCGTTCTCGTTGAAAAGCCTACACTTTACACTGAATTTACACGATGTTACCCCCACTCCCAAAAAGTGAACGGAGTAAAAGTGTACACTATACACTTTACACTTTTCGTGTAAGCAAGAAGAACAAACCTAATGGTCATTTACGAAATTATTGGGAAAAAAAAACGCGCCGAAAACTCTACCTCTTGGGTGGTGTGGAAATGAGTTGAGTCGCTTCCGCCATGCCTATGTGTTCAGCGTCTTCCCGTTCGTGATCCGTTCGTCGTACGAAAAACTGGTTTTTATGAAAGTTGTAGGGAATTTAGTCCTCTACAACTTTGCCATTTAAATATATCACCTATTTTTAATAAAAATGGTCCAAAAGTTTAAAAAACTGGGGCAAACTCCTAATTTTTTACACTTTACGCTTATTATTAGCAATAAATAATATTTTACAAAAAAGTTATTCAAATAAAAAAGATAGAGAATTTAATTCTGCATAAATTTGGTCCTTACCATTTTTAGCGAGAAATGCAAAATACGGCTACAAATCGATAAAACAGAAAATTAAAAATTTCGGGCACACGCCATATCAAATTTTGATCTAAAACTGTGATTCCATATTTTACTCCGTCTTTGGAACCTAACCACGTCAAAACATTTCTTCTTCCATTTAATTCCGATATTTACTGTGTCTCTGGTGATCGAGCTATCAAGCCGCTTGTCACCGCTCAGCATTAGGCTGTCGGTTTGTTGGAAGTTCTTAAAGTCGAACATTTCTAAGTACCGCCAACGACGACCTTGCTATTGTTCTCTCTGTAATAAAATAAACTTGTCGCCGTGCAATCGCGCGGTTCGTTAACTTACTTCGACTCATGTATCGACACGAACGGAATAAATTGGAAACTCTTTATCATTGTTAATATTAATTACTGTCTGATTATTTCTGTCTGCCTCTACCTCGTTCTCCGGCATCTTCCCCGCTTACCGCGAACCACCCCCTCTGCCAATTCCGTTGGCTCAGCTAGCCGATCTTGTCCGTCGCGAATTCCGTTGCTCTGTAATTTCTTTGTCCGAACGTAACATCTTAAAATTTAGTGCAAAGAGTGGCACGCTCTCTAGTGCCTGGCGCCCAACGAAATTTGTACGGTTCGAATATCGCAGCACATAAAATTAGAAGGAAGAACCGCACTTTTGCTATTTATATTATTTTGTCCATCCTTTTGAGCTATCGCGTAAATAGAGCAGCAGATGAAGTGACGAAGTTGTGCCGTTTCTCACAAGTACGGTCACAATACATCATTTAAATTTTAAAGTAAATATTTATCAAAAGGGAAAGGGGCCACGATCAAAATTAAACAACATAAATTCAAATGGTAAAAATAAAAATTATTTTAAAAAAGATTATTTAAAACTTAAGTATTATAGTTGTTTCAATGAAAGTGTGTTAATTGGTTACCTACAGTAAGGTGCATGTTCGTTGCATTATATTTTAGGAAGTATTTGTAATTCGACATTCTTCTCAATTTGCCTCACAATGTTTTTAAGACTATGTCTGACAAATGCGTATACTTTGCCATAGATTCGTGAGTAATGGGTAGCTGAAACACTCTATGGATCGTAAAGTCATCGATATTGAATGTCGCGATACCCGTATGAGCAGATATGGCAGATCGTTTTTTCAAATGTATTCTGATTCAATGTTTAATCGTTTCAATAAGAAAACTTTTTCCTGTACCACTCTCGCAACTTACGTATAGTCGTAGAATCTAATTCTTTATTTTGTAAAACGAAGACTCTTTTCTGGTCTTTGTTCAATCGCGACATTTTTTGCGATAAATCAACGTCGGAACGTCAATCTTACTAAAATCTTCCAGATCTTTCATCGCGTCGTCAGCTTCTGTCGGATTGCAATCCAATTCACCGTCATGGGATTTATCTCTGTCTGCTGTTTTCATATCATTTTCACGCTTCTCTTTTAATTCGAACTGATATTTGATGCGAAATACAAATATTTCATAAAATAAAATTAACGATAATTTTATTCTATCAACGATAGTACTATACACTAAATAAATTACGGGTAAATAACTTGTTTGAAACGTATAATGAATTTAGATACATAACAAAAACTCCTGTATAAATAAAATATAAACTCGGAGAAAGTTGCACTAGGAATCAGGTGCAAATAATTTTACGCAATTGCTAATGTATAACAAATATTCTTTATTACACTGAAAAAAAAGTTCTGAAATCGAGTAAGTGTAATTACTTGTTTTTTGTTTTTTTAATTCAAGAAATAATTTTACATTTAAAAAAAGCCGCTCGAGCGACATTTGATCTGCGGACGGGACGGTGAGGGAGACAGCGTAAAGCGGAGTTTATTTATCTCCGAACAATATTATTCGAAAATCGGTCGAAAGTTACATCTGCGCGCGGGCGGTGAGGTGAGGGGAACAGCGGAAGACGGAGGTGATTCAAAAATCGGCCGAAAGTTACATACAATATATGAATGTTTTTCATTTGTACTGGCACCTTTAATTAATAATATATCAGTTACTTTTCATGGTAATGTATCATTATTGGATTAAAAAATAACAGTTTTAATGGACTCTCGAAATTCAAACACAACTTATTTGTATAAAGGGCAAATGAGAGTAAATAACAATCACCGCAGTTCTAAGTGCATTACAATAATTTAATGTCAAGGTTAAAGAACCAATCTAAGGGAGGGATAGGGGCGGGTGGAGGAGGTCCGGTGGCCCGAAGATGGTGGAGGTGTGAGTGAAAGGTGAGAGAGAATGTTAAAAAATTTTAATGGCCTTGAATGTGGATAGAGAAGAAGAAGGAAAAGGAGAAGAAGACATTTCTTAATTTTTTTTGACTCAAATTACTCGTGGCAATGCCGCCTTTCAGGACATATAACGTTCGATTCAAAATTTTTTATATCTTAGTAGTTATGCATTCCCTAAAAATGGACTTTGGTGGCTCGGGATAAGAGACTTGTAGTGTCTTTCAGTTTTTGAGCATGGCCGGAGACACTACCGCGTCTCCTGAAATTAACAATAGATAATTTAATGTTAATAAAAAGAAATCACTTAAAAAAACATTCCAATAATGATTTTGAAAGTACGTTCTCAGTAGTTTAAATATAGAAGTGCTCCTGAACCATAGGGCTGCGCGCGCAGCTAGTCCGCCGAGCGGTAATGGGAGGATAGGAGGCGGCGCTCGCAGAAATCGACTCGAAATGTACAGATTTTTGCGAGCACCTTAAGAGATATCTCGGTAATTATCATGAAGTAAGAGTAAGGAGACTTAACTGTATAGACTGAAGGTGGTTACGAAAAATGTTCCGTGTACTGCCATGTCCGCCGAACGGAATAACTTGCAACATTTCATCGCCATATTGAATATTTATATGTGTGCAGTATACTTGCGACTGTGTACACGTATGTGTACACATATACATGATATATATCGAATCGGGATGACAGATATCTTAACCTATAAAGTCTCGAACTTTAACGCTTAATAACTCGGTTCACAAGGCCGATCCCCGCATTTTTCTTATAGATTCTTTCGTTCTGAGTAAAAACGCGACGAATGAGTATAATTTTATTAAGATTTTAGGAGAGCAAGCTATACTCTACCTTTTAGAAGACAAATACGTGTCTTAAACGTATAAAATTATACTCATTCGTCGCGTTTTCACTCAGAACGAAAGAATCTATAAGAAAAATGCGGGGATCGGCCTTGTGAACCGAGTTATTAAGCGTTACAGTTCGAGACTTTACAGGTTAAGATATCTATCATCCCGATTCGATATATATTATGTATATGTGTACAGATATGTGTACACAGTCGCAAGTATACTGCACACATATAAATATTCAATATGGCGATGAAATGTTGCTAGTTATTCCGTTCGGCGGACATGGCAGTACACGGAATATTTTTCGTGACCAACTTTTTTCTCCATATCCTATCTAGTTAAGTCTCCTTACTCTTACTTCATAGTAATTATGCACTTTAGGAGACCCAGCTCCGATGACCTTGACATATGTTGTCAAGGTCATGATTCTGATCAACTTTGCCTTATAGTAGGGGAGGCCAAGCGGGGATTTTGGGATTTACTCGAGCGCGTCAGAATAACATAAAGGGGGAAAGCTTGCACCCTAATAAGTACCCCCCACCAAATATTAAACCTCTATATAGAGCCAGGGGTCTAGGAGAGCCCGTCAGATTAGTAAAAAAAAATCGATCGTTCGAAAAACTCGAGCGCGTCAGGTTAAGGAATGGTGTGTTAATTACATGTAGAAAAGTGCACATTTCAATAATCTGACGATTTCAGCGTGACGTAAGGAAATGGGAGAGTCACAAAGTTACAAAAAAAAAAACGTGACATGGATTTTCTCGAGCGCGGTTAAATTTTTTTTTATTTTGAAGGAAATTAATCAAGGATCACGGGAATAATATAATCTGACGATTTACACAAGCCGAAGTGGCCAAAATCATTAATAAAGTGCGGTGCGCGCAGCGGCTGAGAACTGTGTACCAGATGTAAACGACAAGGACGAAATCGAATTGATCTTTGAATATGAAGATGATGAATTTACCACTGACGATGAAGACTAAGGGACTTCTAGGTTACTTATGTATCGGTTATTTTAACTTGTTCTTAATGTATATGGTTTCAACCACAAATATGAGAACGGTGTATATAATTTGTATATACATGCATCTTCCCAGAATTTCCTGCACGGAAAAAACGAAATTGTTGAATCTACCATCTAAATAGTAAGATATGCACTAACGAACGTTTTTTAGTTGGTTTTACTATTAACATAGTAAGCTGCACTATCTACTTTGTTGAAGCTACTATTTGGATA